CCCTTCCGGCTGCGCCACCCGAGGGGGCTGATGCGGGCGCCGGGGATTGGCGAGCACCCGGGGCTGCCACGTAACGGATGTACGGCGGCCGTCAAGGGTCAAGCCAGCTGAGCCCGGCTCAGGTTCGGACGGCGGCTCTGAAGTGCCAAACCGTTCTTCCTCAGCCTTTTGGCATCCAAACTAAACTTCACGTGGATTTAAGAAGAAAACGGTAATCGAGAGGCTTCCCCTGCCCGGTACAACGCCGTTTTACGATTCGTCAGGAAGATGATGAACAATTTTGGATCCAGTGATGGAATGGAGAGAATGGAAAGTGGGGGCTGAAGCCAAGAGCTTTGAGGGGTTTTGTTGCCCCCTCCCCATCTCCCTGCTCTTCTGAGTCTGGCGAGGGGTGGAGGTGCGTGTAGGCGCGGGGTGCTGGTTGGAAATGCCCTAGATCTTCGCCTAGGTGTGGATACTTGGGTGTTTTACTTGGATTTTTTCAAAAATCAAGAAGCTGTATACTTAAGCAAATGCACTATATTTTACTATAAGTATGTAAAAAGTTAACTGCCATAAAGTTTACCTTGTTCAAGTTCCCTCAAAGTAGATCTCCCAGTTCTCTAAAGTCTTGCTGCATTTCCGAACCCCCGTGGCTCTGGCCAGCTGCTGCAGTTGTCTTTTCTGGAGCTGGGCCTCCTGGCATTCTCCCACTCCTCCCTCCCAACCCGATTCACACATCATCTCTTATGTCCCCAAATGCTCCTAAACATCCTTCTGCCCGATACTTGCCTCTTCTTCGTGTTTGTGACCAAGACCTATTCCGGTCAAATGACTGAATTTCCACTCCTGAAGCACAGCCTCCGAGCCAGTGTGACATCCTCTCAGCCCTAGTTCACTGACCCGACCTGGTGTCAAGGATCCTGGACTCTTTCTCCACTTTTGCACGTAACTGTGTGAGCTTCGTTATATTGCATCTCCTCTCAGAGCCTCCGTTTTCTTAGCTGTAAAAAAAGGATGACTCCAGAAATTTTGAGAGTTTATTTTTTGCAAAGACCAATAGGCAATAGGGGGCAGTCGTGGCACAATATCCAGTGTCCCTGTTTGGGTGTCGTGGACAGGAGCGCTTCGTGAAGGCTTCCTGGCGGGGGTGTCTTACTGGCCAAGTTGCCAGGGATGGCCCCGGCTTCCCTGTCCTCTGCCTGGCAGAGGTCTGGCTTCCTTGCCAACTCAGACCTGAGAAAAGTGACAAGGACAATTTTGTTTCCATCTACAAATTTCAATGTTAACATTTAACTTTGAACTGATTAAAAAACTGTCTGACTCCACCCATCAGGGATTTAAAATACAGACAGCATCAGTACAACACAAGGAATTAAATATTGTGGTTTTTCCGCGGGGGTTTTTTTTTTTTTTCTGCTTGTTTTTTGTTTGGGTGCTGGGGGTGGAACCCAGTGTCTCCTGCATGCTAGGCAAGTGCTTGACCACTGGACTACTTGCCCAGCCCGTTTTATTTTATTTTGAGACAAAATCTCACCAAATTTCCCAGGCTGGCCTTGATCTTGCCACCCCTCCTATCCCAGCTTCTTCCTTCTGTTACTTTATTGACAAAAATTTAAAGATGCTAGAATAACCCCGATTCTAGCTTTTAGTTTTCTTTGTTTGTTGGTACCTGGGATCAAACTTAGAACCTTACGCTTGCAAAGCAAGCGAGGTGCCACTGAGCTAAATACCCGGCACTTGTTTTTGTTTTTTTGAGACAGGGACTCAGTAAATTGCTACTTGCAATCCAGTCCCCCTGCCTAGGCCTCCCGAGCTCTGGGATTCTTTGCACCGACCTCAAAAGGGATTGAACCGTAACATCATCACCTAATCCCTCCCGCTGCAGGGGTGGAGCCCTGAGCTCCTAGCCCTTTCTCTGTTCTCAGCCCCCAACCCGTGCTGCGTCGCGGGAACTACATTTCCCAGGATCCCTTGCTCGCTGCCTTGAGGATCTAGCCAATTGCAAGCACTGGCGGCTGGGAGGAAAGAAAAAGCCCGGCGTTTGTTTCCTCTGCCTTGGAAAGCACCTTGTTAGTCATTGCGGCCGTCAGTTGCCACTTGCCCCCTTCTACTGTGTCTCTTTGTCCATGGGCTCCGGTGACCCCACTTCCTTCCTTCGTCCCCCCAGTTCAGAGTTAGTGCATTTCTGATACTCTTAGTCTCAGGGATGTCCCCCAGGCCCACCTGGCTTGTCATCCCCCGTGGTGATGGCTTTTAACAGTACCTAAACCTAGTCCCGCGCCTGTTATCCCAGCACTCTGTGTCTGAGGCAGGAGGATCACTGTGAGTTCGAGACCAGCCTGAGCTACTAGTGAGTTCCAGATCAGTCTCAACTACATGTGAGACCCTGTCTCAACCCCCCCCCAAAAAAAGTACCTAAGCTTACCAAGATAAGTCATGTAAAGGTACAAGATCCCAATTATTAGTGTAACTATCGTATACCTAAAATGTACCAATGAACAATAAAAAAATGTAAAAAGAAAAAAATAAAGATAAAAGTACATCTGGAGGAAGAAACACAATGGCAGCTCCCACCAGCCTTGGTGGTGCTGCCTGTGGTCTAGGACAAGTCAGGATGCCGTTAACATCTGGAAGGCACAAAAATACAGCGTGCGCTACAGGTGACAACTGAGCTGAGACTCAAGGAAAACTGACGTCAGCAATCAGTGATGCATGACAGAGGGATTTTCGGGCAGGAGGCACTACATTCCTCGAACTGGAACACAGTGAGCTAGCTGTAGGACATAGAATAACACGTGCAGTCAGCAAAACTGGGGCCATGCTTGGGTCAGTCTTCCACACCATGCTAAGGTTTCACTTTATTCTGGAGAGCAGCAGTCAACTACTGCCCATGGTCTGTTTTTGTCAGTAAAATTTGTTTGTTTGTTTGTTTGTTTGTTTGAGACAGGGTCTCACTGTGTAGTTGAGACTGACCTGGAACTCACTATGTAGCTCAGGCTGGTCTCAAACTCACAGTGATCCTCCTGCCTCAGCCTCTGGAGTGCTGGGATCACAGGTATGCGCCACCACGCCCAGCTCTTTCAATAAAGTTTTATTGGAACACAATAAACTCTTGTCTGGCTGCTTGAGCTACAACAGCTGAGGTGAGTAACTGCCAGATTCCACATGGCCTGCAGAACCTCAAATACTTGCAGTCTGCTCCTTTGCAGCAAAAGCTTCTTGCCTGGTGTGGTGATTCACACTTGTTATCCCTTCAGGAGGCTGAAGCAGAAGGATGGCCTCTAGTTGGAGTCAGTTTGAGGCCAGCCTAAACTATATGGTGAGATCCTGTTGCAAAAAATTCTTCAAGGACGCAGACTACATTCCCAGTGCCCAGGACAGCACCAAGCATAAGAATCGCTGGCATCATTCATACAAAGCTGTTAGTCCAGCACCTGGCACACAGTAGCAGCTTGTTATTGGTAGGTACAGCAGATAAAAAATACTGATGCTCCCTTGGTGTGGAGATAGCAGACTAGTCACTCATAATTTACGTCTGGACAAATATGTGTAACTGGTGAAAATGCTATAGCTTCATCTGCAGTAGAATGTATGGCTAAAAATAACCCTGTGATGAATTGTTAAACAGATACCTAACAAAGATCCAAAATTTCATCATGCTGAAATGTTAGATGGAGTAGGTAAATCAGTGAATGAGTGATTGATAATTTTGATGAGTGGGTGGGGTTTTCCAATGTTTGTATTTGTTCTTATAGTTGAATTACAATGGTGGTTTTTCGTAGCATTGATCATGTTTAAAGTCCATGTGGGAACTATGATATATAGATCGATAGATAGATATGATATATTTTTGTACTGGGGATCAAACTTGGGAACCAAACTTGGGTCCTTGCACTTGCGAGGCAGGCAGCAAAACCACTGGGCACTGAGCTAAATCCCCAGCCCTCATCAGCAATTCTAATTCTACCACTGTCATAAGGAAAATGATCTGCTACCTCCATGAGGCACGCCTGGGATCCCAGCACTTTGGGAGGCTGAGGCAGGAGATGGACGTGTTTGAGCACAGACTTAGCAAATTAGCAAATCCCTATCTCTCAATATTAAGGAAAAAAGTGGGGCTAGGGATATGGCCCTGGGTTCAGTCCCCAATACTGAAAAACCAACACTTGGAAATGACAGCAGCCACAATGTCAGTTACCGGGGAGAACACGTTGGTATCTGGAGAAGCTTCGCTTTGGGAGGGAGGCTGGACAGGAGAAAGCAGAGGAGCAGGGGAGGAAAGGGACTCCAGTCCTCAGAGCTGAGCAAGGAGACCCTGTGGTGGGAAAGACATCCGGACTTTTTACATTAGCTCATTTTAATTTTTCCCTATTGAGCTGTGATTTAGATATGCTAAAGGAGCAATCCTCCTGCCTCAGCCACTCAAGTGCTGACATTACAGGCATGTGCCACTATGCCCAGCCCTAAAGTGTATAAATTCTAAATTACAGTGGAGTGAATTTTTATGTATGCACATGTCCCTGAACCTGAACCCTCAGCCCAGATAAACAAGAGATTTACAAGAGCCCAGAGGACCTGTCCAGCCTCCCATGATCCTCACATTGTAACAAGACTGGCTGGACACGGGCTGGATGTGTTGGCACACCCCTGTAAGCCCAGGACTCGGGACACTGAGGCAGGAGGATTGCCATGAGTTTAAGGCCAGCCTGAGCTACACAGTGAGACCCTAAAGACTGTAACTCAGAAACAAATAAAGCTGTTCACAGTGGCACATGCCTGTAACCCCAGCTATCTGGGTGGCAGAAGGATTAGAAGTTCAAGGCCAGCCTACATCATAAGACTATTATCACAAGAGCCTGCCGCAAACAAATGTCAGGTTCAATGAGGCTATGGTGTGCAGGAATCTGCAGTCATTTTTCATTGCTATATAGTCTTTATCTGTATGGCTTTTGATTTTACTGAGGTAGGGCCCAGAGGGCCAGGGATTTAGCTCAGTGGTTCCGCCACCTGCCTTTGCAAGCCCAAAGTCCCAAGTTCAATCCCCAGAACCAAACAACAAAACAAAACAAAGAGATAGGGTTTATACTGACCCTGAATTCTAGATCCTCCTGCTTCAGCCTCCTGAGGGCTGGAATTATAGGCATGTGCTACAACCACTGGCTTCAAAATTGCATTCAGAAAGGTACACCACACCTAGAGTCACCAAAGTACAGCAGCACACCGTGGGCTTCACTATTATTTTCTTCCTTTGAAACAGGGTGCCCTGAAATTGCCCAGGCTGCATCGTGATCCTCCTACCTTGCCTTCCAAGTAGCTGAGATTACAGGTGTGCACCACCATGCCCTACACCTTCCTGCTTTTTGACCTAATTTATAGGCAGGAGGTGCTAGACAGGGGTTATGACATGCTCCGGCTAGTTGCATAAACTTGAAAGAATTAAACAACAGCAACATTGCTTAAAGTACCCCAGTCAGGAAACAGCCTGAAGGTCTATCAAAAAAGAGGTGATCAGGGACCTTACTGCAAATCCACAACATAGGAAACTGTGCAATCCCTCAGAAGAATGAGGCAGGGTCTGCCACACCCCACGCCTTAAGAGCAATCTAAGTCCACATGTGCAGGGCAGGAAAGACAATTACAGGTACTATGTGAAAAAAGCTTATTGTATATTAATATGTATAGCATGCTTTCCCACCCCTGTACTGGAGATTGAACCCAGAGCCTTGGCACTGAGCTACATCCCCACCCCTTTTTAAAATTTTATCTTGAAAAAAAAATTTCTTTTTATCTTGAGACAGGATCCTGTTAAATTGCTAATTTCTCCAAGGCTCGTTCATACTTGTGATCCTCCTGTCTCAGCCTCCCACACCTTGGGATCACAGGTGTGCACCACCACGCCTGTTACTCATATTAAAAAATAAACAGCAGGGGGCTGGGGATTTAGCTCAGTGGTGCGGCCACCTGCCTCACAAGCACAAGGACCTGAGTTCAATCCCTAATGTAAAAAATAAATAAAGAAAGAAAGAAAGAAAGAAAAGAAAAGAAAAGAAAAGAAAAGAAAAGAAACAACCATAAGCAGGGCTTGGTGGCTATAATCCCAGCATCCTGGGAGGCAGAGGCAGGACCACTGCCACAAGTTCGAGGCCAGCCTGAGCTACATAGTGAGTTCAGGGCCAGCCTGAACTATAAAGTGAGACCCTGCCTCAACTCCTCCTCCAAAAAAGAAACAACAATAACAAAAAAAAAAGTGCTGTCCGGCTGGGGATTTAGCTCATCGTTCTGCTGCCTGCTTCCCAAATGCAAGGTCCGGAGTTAGATCCCTGGTACCAAAAAAAAAAAAACAACAACAAATAGAAAATACTGTCCTTGTGTCATCTATAATCCCAAACATCCCACATTCTCCGTGAACATTTTTTTTCTTTTGAGACAAGGTCTGCCGAGGAAGCCCACGGTGACTTTAAACTCATGGTGATCCTCCTGCCTCAGCCTCCCAACTGCTGGGAGGACAGGCATGAGCCACCAGGTCTAGCTGCCAATGGACTATCTTAATGCAATGGTGTATTTTCCACAACTTTAAGCTCTCAGCAAGCTCGTGGTCTGTGAGTTGTTCTATGCACACAGGGCCTGCACGGAGGGGATGAGGAGCCCTCCGGCAGCCAACTTTACTTCCTGGCTAGCATTTCCGGTGCTTCAGCTCTGGCCCAGGCTTGCATGCTGCACTTAACAAGTCCTGTGCCGTGCGTTATTCCCTGCTCAGCATCTGAATCCCTCCTGGACAGACTTCACTGAATGCATCTCCGTCCAAGCAGGACTCAAGCCTGGCACAGTGGCACATGTGTGCAATCCCAGCCTCCGCGAGGCTGAGGCAGGAGGACTGCTAGTCTGAGCTCAGCTTTGGCAATTTAGCTGAGAACTTATCTCAAAATAAAACAAAGATAGCTGGTGGTTCTGCCTCATTACCTGGCTCACTCGCTAATGTGAAAGCCTTACAGAAATCTCCAGGACCTCAGCAAGAAAGAAAGTCATCTTCATCTTTCAAAGACGGAAAATGAATGACAACAATTGGTAGACGGGATCC